AGACAGACAGACAGACAGACAGAGACGAAGATAGATAGATAGATAGATAGATAGATAGATAGATAGATGAATTGGTATTGAAAAGTTATTGACCAAGAACACGTGCGACCCAAAATTCGCTTGGGTCAGATCTCATATAGGGCGAGATTTTTATCAACATTCCCAAATATAATTATTCTTTTTAAAGTAACCAATACCAACGCTGAACACACAGAAAAACAAAACAATAATATTAACTATTTCTTCAAAAATCAGATGCATAGCAACTATAATCAAGACAAATCTTCACTCAGAAACATCCTAAAGATATACACAACTTACAAAACAAGAAAATTAAATTAATTATTTATTACAAAAAAATTAAGACCGCGAAACACATCGTCAAGAATAATAATTCACCAGCAAGATCCAAATTACAGAGAATCAGCATTATTTACAAATTTACATGTCCCTTCAGGAGCTGTGCTCCTGACCAATGCAAATTTGTAAATAATTATATTAGATATACTACATGTTTAACAAGAAGACTCGTGTTACATCTCTCTGACTATAGCTCAATTAGATCTCATTCTAATACACATGAAGACCTACCAAACTCTATCTGTAACATACTCGATGATAATACAAATATAATAGCATCTTCCACGTGTACAATTAAGCTAAAGATAATGGAAGCATTATTAATAAAAAAGGAAAAAGCCAACACTCAATAATATCAACTGTGAACACGGCCACAATGTGCTTACCGATGTTTAGAAAATAAAACATTCCTATAACTCTAGATGCATACATAAAACAATCCATATATTCAAGTTAAAAGTAAAATAAAATTCATCCTTGATAATGGCTAAACGTATAGCCAAAGGCGCTTGGAAAACATTCGGACAATTTTTATATAATTTATGTCCTGAAAAGAGGAAAATTGCACGAACGCATGAGGAATTATATAAAAAACCACAAAACATTGTCAGTCGATTCCAATGAAAATTGCATAAAAGAGGGATTTACCCAATATATATATATATATATATATATATATATATATATATATATATATATATATATATATATATATATATGCAAATATATTGGTAAAATAGGAAAGAACCATTAGATTGATGATCCGAAGTTCTTTAATATTTTTGTTTTTATTTTTTAAAAACAATTCCCGATACACAAGTACAGCCTAGATTATAATTATTTTTTAAAAAAATGATTCCATCGCTACACAGGAATTACCATGTTTCAAAAACAGAAGCTAAAAACTTCAAATTGAGTTATAGAAATTAAATTGAAAATGAAACAGAACTAGGTACTTTAATTTAATTTAATTTCTATAACTCAATTTGAAGTTTTTTAGCTTCCGTTTTTGAAACATGGTAATTCGTGTGTAGCGATGGATTCATATTTTTAAAAAATTATAATATATATATATATATTGCTCATGTAGATTCTGACCTAAGCCAAATGAGAGACATGATAGTGTTACACAAGTTTGGGAAGGTGAATAAAGGATTATTGTCTAGAAAATAACATGGCTGCCTGATCTTGGACATGAGTAACTACCATTGATGGGAAATTCGCAACTTACTCAACATATAGATATATAATTAATCACGCATGCGCGCGCGCGTGTGTGTGTGTGTGTGTGTGTGTGTGTGTGTGTGTGTTTATCTTAAAGCGTGCATACACAATTCCGCCTGTTTGGGGGTGGTATCTTCTCTTATTGTGTACGCCCATCTCCGCCTTCGTTCGCGGTGTGATGGTGGTGTCACACGTGGGGCTGAGGAGGAGGCGGTATATATTGACGACCCACCGCCATCTGTCACACTAGTCCGAGCTTGGACCTTGAACGCGGCTGGTTGGCCACATTATTTTCACTCAAAAGGTTACGGCACACACGCAAGCCCGTGCACACACACGCACACACACACGCATACACACAGAAATACACAAGTGCATCGTCAGTTACGTAAATCGTCCAGTTTGATAGATACGCACATAGATCGCGTGTCCTTTTCGCCATCAGCACGACTTGCACAGGTGTCAGTGTCGGCGTCGCCAACTGTCACCGCGCGTTAAACCCAAAGTCATGCGTTTCTTTTACCATTTCACTCTGTTTTTCCTGGCCACTTTCGTCCAAGTCTACTCCGTGTCGGGTAAGTCAACAATTTACTTATCTTTCTTTCCTTTTTTTCTTTTCTTTTCTTTTTTTTTCTTCTTTTTTTTTTTTTTCTCTCAAAATAATTCAGTCAAAGAAACAATGAAATTCGCAAATAATTTATTTAATTTTCGACGTTTTCATTAGATTTCTTTCGTTGTTCTTTAGGTTTCATTTCGTTCTTTCGCTGTACCTCATAGTTTATTTCTTTCTTGCTTTTTTTTCTTTCTTTCTTCCTTTGTGCCTGTTTCTTGCTTTTTTTCTTTCTTTAAATTCTTATCTCTTTATAACTTAATTCTTACGTCTGTTTGTTTCTTTTCTTTTTTGATTTCCTTCTTTCTTTCTTTACACTAAGTTTTCTTTTTACTTTCATTTCTTTCATCCCTTCTTTCTTTAACTTCTTATCTTCCTGTAACTTAATTCTTTCTTTCTTTACGTCTCTTTCTTTTCTTTTTTCGATTTCCTTCTTTCTTTCTTTCTTTATTATTCTTTTTTTTTCACTTCTTTCGTTTCTTTCTTTCTTTAACTTCTTACCTTCTTTTAACTTCATTCTCAGTTTCTTTCATTACTTGCCTTTCTTTTCTTTACTTTCGTCTTTCCTGTTTTATTTTCTTTCTTTCAAAACTTCCATATTTTTCATCTTTTTCTTCTTCAATGTTTCCATTCGTTTCTTTCCTTTTCCTATATATTTTTTTTGTCTTATTCTGTTTCTCCTCTTTCGTTTTACATTCATTCTTCCTTCATCTCGCTTATATTTCTTCCCTATCTTTTCTCAGTCCTTTCTTCGTTTGATTGGAAATATTTCTTTTACTTTTTCTTCTATGTCCCTTGCGTCATGACCACCGCGTCCCTTCAGGAAATAGGTGGTCATAGCTGTAGCTCTTAGCAATTTTTCTCCCTTTGCTTATTCCACCCCCCACCCCCGTTCCGGTATCCATTCACACAACCTCGCCAAGTAATTAACTCTCTCTCTCTCTCTCTCTCTCTCTCTCTCTCTTTTGACTTCAATATGCCCGGTAAGGGTTAAGTTTTCCAAGCCGTCCTTCCTCATTATATTGCTTTAATGTTTTTTCTCTATACAGTTGATAAGGGCATTTTCCTTTTCAACATCAAAATTCATCTCTGTTCCCACAAGAAACTTTATCTTCCCTATTTTATGATGGCAGGGGTGAAATAAAACCCTAAAATGATGACATCAATGAAACGGCACTAAATTCTGGTTGCCGAAAATCTGTATTGTTTCGTTTTCATCTTGTACACTGTCTCACTGACATTTTTCTTGTTTCATCTTGATGCAACCTGTGAAGAGCGAGGGCGATTCTGGAAAAATCTTCTTTTTTTTTTTCTAAACTCATCTCTACACCCAAACATCAACAGTTTTAAACAAGAATGTGTTTTCTATGATAGGGCATTGGTCTTCGAGCGATGATTAGCATTCAAGTGTAGCTACACAAAAATAGTGAGTTCGTAGTTTTCGCCTGGTGTTTCAACGTTGAAACAAAAATGGTTTCGACTCGTAAATTGTCAATTGTGCGAAGTACTTTTCTGTATTTTCAATAAGATTTTTTTTCTTCATGGAAAACAAACTATTCTTTTAATGGTGATATAACTTTTAACGGTAAGAAAAGAAGTAATTTACAAAGTGGGCGATAATCCTCGTGGGAAAAAATGATTAGATTTATCAACTGAATTTCTAAATTATATATATATATATATATATATATATATATAGGATTGTAGGATTAATATGAGTAAATGTTTGTCCCTTAGCTGATAGATGCTATTTTCAACCTGTCCATGTACTCATTAGGGGTATCAGCAATTTACTGTTTATGTCTCATTTTCTTTTTTATACACTTATCATTGGTTTATATATATATTTATATATATATATATATATATATATATATATATATATATATATATATATATATATATATATATATATATATATATATATATATATATATATATATATATATGTGTGTGTGTGTGTGAATGTGTGTGTGTGTGTGAATATGTGTGTGTGTGCACGGGTATATATGATGGGCACATAGGCACCTCGACGTGGTGTAATGGTTAGAAAACTTGTCTTTTAAATCAATTACGACTGAGTAGTGAGTTCGATCTCACTGGGTGCCCATACTTTCGGTCTTGTCTCACATCTAAGCCGGTCTTAGAAAATCACTATATGAGGGGCATTATACATGTATATATATATATATATATATATATATATATATATATATATATATATATATATAAGAAATAGTTCTATATATATATGTGTGTGTGTGTATATACAGGTATACATATAAAAAAGGCTCTATAATGTGTATATATGTGTGAGTGTGTGTTTATATATATACATATATGAGTGGGTATGTATATGAGTACATGTATGTGCAAGTATAAACATCCAACAACAATAAATAGCTCTAATATAGAATTAAAGAAAGAAACAGGCGAACAGATGTTCTCTTGAATCTGGACATTGGAGGTGATCAGGTAATCTAATTTAATTTGATTTACTATCATCACTTATCCAGAGAGATCCCAAGTCATTTTTTCTTACATGCAGTTTTGTTTTTCTTTCATTCTAACCTGAGAAAGCCAAAAAGTTTGTTTGTATACTATTATACATCCTACAAACACACACAGAGACTCAGACACACACACACAGACACACACACACACACACACACACACACACACACATATATATATATATATATATATATGAACAAATTTGATTAAAGAGAACCGATAAGGTCTGTCTGTTTAATTTTTTATTATATTTTTCCAATTTTCGGATAAGGTGTTGACTATTGTGCACGAAGTTGTAGACAAACTAGTTTATATTTTGCTATTTTTGTTCAAGTACTTTCGACTTTCGCAGTCATTATCAATAATCGCTGTGGTGTCTGTGTCTATGTCTCATGTATATCAAGATGCGTAGACAAAGGAATTCTTACTAGCACGCACAGCTCACATCGGTTCTTGATAATCACTGGAAAACCGAAAATAGTTGAACAAACAATAACAAAATATGAACTTCGGACAGTTTATTCCCAATTTCGCACATATATATATCAAGAAAAGTTTTGGTGGAAAGATTCATGACAAAGTAGATAATTTTTTACGTGTTACGCGTTTCGTTCCTTAGGACTGGCTTTGTAACGACACGCGCCTCACATAAACTTTTTCCACTTTTCTCATAAATCTTTCCTCCTATATATATATATATATATATATATATATATATATATATATATATATATATATATATATATATGCTATATTTATGGAGGAGAGTAATCAAAATCAGGAATAAAGTGTATAGACACTGATTCTAGACAGAAGTCCCGATACATAAATAAGCTCTTCGTTTTAAATGGTTACTTTAATATATACAGTTGTGGACAGAATTATTCACCCTCTTCCATAATTACAAATAAAGCTATAATACCTCAAATTTTCATAGAAAATTCATGTGCATTTTTTCACAAATTATGCAATAATGGATTTTTAAAGAATGTGCAGTGTTGACAACAATTTTTTTTATTTTAATCTCAAACATTTAACGTATGACAAATTTATTGCTCCTCTTGCCTCAGTAATCAATTGTGTAACCTTTATTCTAGATTATTTCTTTTAGTCATTTTTTGATAGTTTCTTACAAAATCATTACACACACTGACAGGTATTTTGCTCCGTTCTTCCTTGGAAATAGCTTCTAGTTCCTCCAAATACAAAGGACTTATTTCTCTTACTTTTTTTTCTCCAAACATACCCATAATTTTCAATGGGGTTTAGGTCAGGACTTTGTGCGAGGGTACGCCAATGCCTTAATTTTGTTGTCATCTCAGTATTTTGTAACAATTTGTGCCGTGTTTAGGGTCATTGTCATGTTGGGATATTCAGTGACGCCTCAAAGACAGCTTTCGTGTACTTTATTCTGTATTAATTTTAAAAATAACCAAATACTACTCTATATCTATGATACCCTATACTCTCACTAGTTCTCCTGGTTCAGGAGCAGCAAAACATCCGCAGAGCAGAATGCTCTCACCACTGTGCTTAATTGTAGGGTATTTTTGGTTTGAGATCTCCATTCACTTAACAGGAGCCCAAACATGCCCAAATAATTCTAGTTTGATTTCATCTGCCCGTAAAACAGATTTCTAATATTTACTTCCATGTACTAGATGGCTTCTAGCATAAACTAATCTGCATTTTAAGTGTTTAACCTTAAGCAAGGGAGTTCTCTTTGGGCGACAAGCTCGAAGTCCTGCTCGATGAAATCATCTAGTGACTGTTTTTGTCACAACATTCAACCCTGATGTCTTTTCATCCTTGACAATGTCTTTTGTTGTTGAGGATACTTCAATACATCTCTAACAATTTTCCTTTCCATTCTCTCAGAATTTGCCGTTTTCTGCCAGTGCTTAATTTATCCTCAACACAATGAATCACATTATACTACTTGATAATGCTACGAACTGTCGATGTAGAAACAATTAAACGCTTGGAAAGTGTTGTATATCCATCACCTTGTTTGTACGCATCTTGCTTCGGATCTTCTCGTCAAGTTCTGCATTTTTCACCCTGGGCACAGAACAAATGTGTTGTCGCGGTTGGTGGCACTCACGCATTGTCTTTTTCATTACCTTTTAGAATGTTATAGAATCAGGTCGATACTATTTCCTTTTCAAAGGGTGTTTGTATTAAATATCAGATTAAGAAAAAAACATTGCAGTTGCCATAGAATAATATTATTTCATAATAATTTCTATAAGAGTGGTGGGGGCGAATAATTTTGGACAACGCCAATTTTTAGAA